TTTTGTTTTTGCCTATATAAAGATATATCCGATCAAAATAAGTGTTATTCGTTAATCAGAGTTAATTTTAACAAATATAGTAAGTATTAGTTATTATTAAAATTTTAAATTTATAAATTTATATTAAAATAATATTTAAAATAAAATAATTAAAGTTAATTTGATATATAATCAATAAAGATGATGTAAATTGATGGTTACTTAAAATTATTTAAATGGGTGAATAATAAATTAAAATTAATTTGATGTGTAAAAATAATTGATTAATATTATTTAATTACATTAAGTCAAAATTAAGTCATATTTTGAAATTTGAATTGAATTATTTTGTAAACAAACACACATTGTTCGAACATTTTGAACTCGTGTTTACAGTTTGTGTTTATTTATTTATTTAGTTATTCGAGCAGAACATATGTGCTCGTTTAATTGTTCTTCAAAATATGACTTTATTTATATTCATATAATTTAAGAAACAATTGAACCAAAAGAGTCTGAGTTTGAGCATTTTGAAGTTCGAATTTATTTAGTATTCGAGCAAAAATTACATGCTCGTTTATAGATTGCAAAAATTACAAGCTCGTTTATAGATTGTAAGGAAAAGCAATTAACAAAGGGATTTCGGTCTTAGGGGAACGAATGAAGCGAAGCGAAGTTCAATCAAAGGAGCTCGACCAAGAGTAAATGAGGGAAGCAGGGTCGGAAGTAATGAAATGGAAGAAAAGAAGGCGCGGCGGATCTGGTTTTTTCAAGAAAGGCTGGCTAAGGTAGCCCTTTTGAATGGAATTCCTTCCAAACCGGAATAAGCTGAAGTCTTTAGAACTATTTAAACGGCTCGATCTACTACGAAAGAAGTTGGACAAGATCTTCTCGGGACACTTTAACAAACTTATAAAAGTTGTTTCATCAAATTAAGTTTCTCTCCTTTGAAATCACTCGTGCAATAAAAATAAATATTTCAAAAATAAAGTAAAATATATTTTTGATACTTTACAATTTATTTTATTGAAAACATTATCGAAGGTTCGCAGAAGAGGCTCATGTTCGTTCGGTTTAACAAACAAGACTCCCATATTTGTATACAAAAAATTTACTCAAAATTTTATTTAACTCAAAATTTAACTCCACTTTAATATCCTCAATATATGGAATACCATTTGCCACATTTAGCATTTTCATTTTTTGTGGACTAAAACAGAAACAACATA